CTGCACACAACATGATACACATCTAGAGGGCATATCCAGTTATCACTACAGCACAACTATGTGGAATATGTGTGACTTCCTGTAGATGTGGGTTAAATAGATAGACATGTAGATGTACTGTAGATGTGGGTTAAATAGATAGACATGTAGATGTACTGTAGATGTGGGTTAAATAGATAGACATGTAGATGTACTGTAGATGTGTTTAATGGATAGACATGTAGATGTACTGTAGATGTGTTTAATGGATAGACGTGTAGATGTACTGTAGATGTGTTTAATAGATAGACATGTAGATGTACTGTAGATGTGTTTAATGGATAGACGTGTAGATGTACTGTAGATGTGTTTAATGGATAGACATGTAGATGTACTGTAGATGTGTTTAATGGATAGACGTGTAGATGTGTGACGTACTGTAGGTGTGTGAAAATGGCACCCTATTCCCTATATAGTGCACTACCTTTGAATAGAGCCCATAGGGCCCAGTGGGCCTGGTCAAAGGTAGTGCACTTTAAAGGGACTAGGGTGCCATTTGGGACACACATGGATGTATGTTGAATAGATAGGTGTGTTGGTTTACCTTGAAGCAGGATGAGTGGCTGTAGATCTGAAGGTCCTCCAGGATCATCTTGGCTCCAGCCACTATGGGTTTACAGCAGTACGAACACAGGTCCTCAGTCACACGCCTGTACAGCAGAGGGCAGTAGTGAGTTGGGTATAGCGAGAACACACAGGGACAGCTTTACTGAGTGCAGAGAGGGTATGGAGAGTAGAGTCTGGGTTGGAGTCAGGACTGACCTGTTAGGTATGGAGAGTAGAGTCTGGGTTGGAGTCAGAGAGGATATGGAGAGTAGAGTCTGGGTTGGAGTCAGAGAGGGTATGGAGAGTAGAGTCTGGGTTGGAGTCAGAGAGGGTATGGAGAGTAGAGTCTGGGTTGGAGTCAGGACTGACCTGTTAGGTATGGAGAGTAGAGTCTGGGTTGGAGTCAGAGAGGGTATGGAGAGTAGAGTCTGTGTTGGAGTCAGGACTGATCTGTTAGGTATGGAGAGTAGAGTCTGGGTTGGAGTCAGAGAGGGTATGGAGAGTAGAGTCTGGGTTGGAGTCAGGACTGACCTGTTAGGTATGGAGAGTAGAGTCTGGGTTGGAGTCAGAGAGGGTATGGAGAGTAGAGTCTGGGTTGGAGTCAGAGAGGGTATGGAGAGTAGAGTTTGGGTTGGAGTCAGGACTGACCTGTTAGGTATGGAGAGTAGAGTCTGGGTTGGAGTCAGAGAGGGTATGGAGAGTAGAGTCTGGGTTGGAGTCAGAGAGGGTATGGAGAGTAGAGTCTGGGTTGGAGTCAGAGAGGGTATGGAGAGTAGAGTCTGGGTTGGAGTCAGAGAGGGAGGGTCAGGGAGACTGGTCTCTAAACTGAGAGATCAGAGAGAGAGAAACACTTTTACACCACATAAGTTTATACATTTGACAGTTCAGGGATTCTTGAAAGACGGGACAATCTCTACCTTTTTTTTAACAAATATTTTTTGACTATTAACAACATTTGAAATATATATTTTGATAGGCCAAAGTATCAGCCATCACACCATGTAAAGGAACAACCTAATTATTAAATGTTTTCATCAAATGCAACTAACTGTATTTATGTCAACTCCGTCAGACACCTTAAAAGGCAGTTAATTTTTACATTTATTGACCAACAAGTTGTTTAAAGGCCTTGATTGTTTCATTCTAACATTAATAAAAAATAAACATCTCCTAACCTTCTTTTTGTTTTGTTTTATAGCACTATTAAATGCTCCAGGGGTCATTTCGTTAGCATTTTGACATGTTTTTCTAGATTCAGAACATTAAAACAACATTTATAAAGCAAACATTATCCCTTAGGTCTAGCTGAGCAAATATGTGACAGTTTAAGCATGCTGTATGTTGCAGAACAGTGATTAGAATATTATTTCCGAATATTGACCAAAAAAATCGATCTTAAGGGGTTAGCCATCAGTGATGGAGTTGACAAGCCACTGATGGAGTTGACAACAAATACTTAAAACAGACATATTTTGCCTCTAAAAATAAAAGTTTAATACAAACGTTTGTAAAATATAGAAAATGATTCATTTGAAAATACCCAATAAAAACAAAACAATTCTATCAGCTATTACAGCACTCTGACAGAGTTGACGTTAGACAAAAATCTGACGGAGTTGAGGTTTAACGGAGTTGACAAAAATTGCTTTTTTCTTCTTCTTTTAAGTGGTATACAAAGTAGACATTTAGTTTTTCCTCAGTTGCTTTAGGACTCTAAAATCCAATGAAAATAAACATATTTGAACCAAAATTCATATCCTATCTTAATCTATCAGGAAGATGAAGTTGACAGTTTATGGTTGTGACCATGGTGATTTGAATATTGTTTGTTTAAATCTATCAAAAGCAGAGAACTTTCCAGACCATGAGTGGTCTTGTTGCACTACATGTAATGAGGACATGAATAAGGGGTCCTTATGGTATAGCTGACCCTGATAATTCCTGATAAATGTAGGATTTTAGACAAATCTGACGGAGTTGACCAAATCTCCGGACACATTTTTTTTGGAATCACAGTTTTGAGATAACTATTATTTAAAGTCAGCGAGGGCTATTGCAAGAAAATACATAATATCCTTTTTCAGTTAATATTCATTATTGCCAGTTTTTAGAATTTTAAACACTTTTTTGGAGAGTTTGAAATCCGGACAAGGGCATTTCCGGGCATAGAGCCAACATGGAAATTCATAATATTGAAAATATTTAGAAAATTCCCAAAACAAATCTTTCCCCTTATAACAGCCTGGTCTCATAGACTATACATAACATAGTAAAAGTAAATCCAGGACTCAACTTAGTATGATATGTTACATTGAGGATGCTACCATTCATCAATGTTCATTATGTCAGAAGTACCTCATCTCATTGATTGAAGCTTGGGGCATTGTTGCCTCTGTCATTGGAGGTGGTGGTGGTGGAGTTGTTGTGACTGCTGGTGGCTCTTCATCAGTGATGTGGGTTATGTCATGGGTGAGCACTTCTGGAGGGCTTAGTGGGGAGTATAATCGTTTTTGGGGTGAGGAAAATACCCTTGCAGTAAAGAGGGACATGGATGGGCTCTTCAGCGATGAGCTTCTACATGACCACACGGAAATGAAACAAGATTGTTGGTCAATTATACACAAGATACTGTAATACAACATAATTTAACTTCAAACTAAAGTCACTTGCTCTATGTGTCTGACTTACTTGGGGGATTCTGGGGACTTTGGGGAGGTGATGCCAGGACTCTTGGCTGTCTTGGAGTCTTTCATACTCTTTGAGGTGGTGCTGTGAGGAGAGGGAAGACAGACACGGTTGAATTACAAGGGATAAGTGCATTAATGGGAGGGTCTGCCGTAGTTTTTTGTGAGTGTGGTACAATTTTAGTCCCTTGAGTATTCGTTAGAATTTTGACCTCTTTACCTTAAAACGGAGGACACAGTCTTGGGCTTTGGAGGAAGTGGAGGGCTGAGGTGAAAACGAAACAAACGAAAAAACCAGTGATGTGAAGTACTTAAGTACAAATACTTTAAAGTAGTACTTAAGTAGTTTTTTTGGGGTATCTGTACTTTACATTACTATTTATATTTTTGCCAACTTTTACTTTTACTTCACTACATTCCTAAAGAAAATATGTACTTTTTACTCCATACATTTTCCCTGACACCCAAAAGTTCTCGTTACATTTTGACAGGAAAATGGTCCAATTCACACACTTATCAAGAGAACATCCCTGGTCATCCTACTGCCTCTGATCTGGTGGATTCACTAAACACACATGCTTTGTTTGTAAATTATGTCTGAGTGTTGGAGTGTGCCCCTGGCTATCCATCAATACAAAGAATACAAGAAAATTGTGCCGTCTGGTTTGCTTAAAATAAGGAATTTTAAATGGTTTATACTTTTACTTTTACTTTTGATACTTAAGTACATTTTAGCAATTCCATTTACTTCTAATACTTAAGTATATTTAAAACCAAATACTTTTAGACTTTTACTCAAGTAGTATTTTACTGGGTGACTTTCACTTTTACTTCAGTCATTTTCTATTAAGGTATCTTTACTTTTACTCAAGTATGACAATTGAGTACTTTTTCCACCACTGCGAAAAACACAAATACATTAGTGAGGTACAGAGACACAACTGTGTGAGAATGACTAAACATTATGAAGATACAGGTAGAGAGTGACTACCAGATAGTAGATATATAGTTAGAGAAAACACTGTGACTACCAGATAGTCGATACAGTGCATTCGGAAAGTATTCAGACCCCTTGACTTTTTCCACATTTTGTTACGTTACAGCCTTATTTTAAAATTGATTATATTGTTTTTTTCCCTCATCAATCTACACACAATACCCCATAATGACAAAGCAAAACACAGGTTTTTAGAACATTTTGCTGATTTATAAAAAAAAATCTAAAACTGAAAAATCTTATTTACTTAAGTATTCAGACTCTTTACTCAGTACTTTGTTGAAGCACCTTTGGCAGTGATTACAGCCTCGAGTCTTCTTGGGTATGACGCTACAAGCTTGGCACACCTGTATTTGGGGAGTTTCTCCCATTCTTCTCTGCAGATCCTCTCAAGCTCTGTCAGGTTGGATGGGGAGCGTTGCTGCACAGCTATTTTCAGGTCTCTCCAGAGATGTTCGATCAGGTTCAAGTCCGGGCTCTGGCTGGGACACTCAAGGACATTCAGAGACTTGTCCCGAAGCCACTTTTGCGTGGTCTTGGTTGTGTACATAGGGTCGTTGTCCTGTTGGAAGGTGAACCTTCACCCCAGTCTGAGGTCCTGAGCAGGTTTTCATCAAGGATCTCTCTGTACTTTGCTCCGTTCATCTTTCCCTCGATCCTGACTAGTCTCTCAGTCCCTGCCGCTGAAAAACATCCTCACAGCATGATGCTGCCACCACTATGCTTCACCGTAAGGTGCCAGCTTTCCTCCAGATGCGACGCTTGGCATTCAGGTCAAAGAGTTCAATCTTGGTTTCATCAGACCAGAGAATCTTGTTTCTCATGGTCTGGGGGTCCTTTAGGTGCATTTTGGCAGTTGTGTGCCTTTCCAAATCATGTCTAATCAATTGAATTTACCACGTTGGACTCCAATCAAGTTGTAGAAACATCTCAAGGATGATCAATGGAAACAGGATGCACCTAAGCTCAATTTAGAGTCTCATAGCAAAGGGTCTGAATACTTCTGTAAATAAAGTATTTATCTTTTTTATTTGTAATACATTTGCAAAGATTTCTAAAAACCTGCTTTCACTTTGTTGTTATGGGGTATTGTGTGTAGATTGATGAGAAAAACAATTTATTTAATCAATTTTAGAATAAGGCTGTAACGTAACAAAATGTGAAAAAATTCAAGGGGTCTGAATACTTTCTGAATGCACTGTATATCGTTAAAGAAGACACTGTGACTACCAGATAGTATATCTATCTATGTAGAGAAAACACTGTGACTACCAGATAGTATATAGTAGAGAAAACACTGTGACTACCAGATAGTATATACATACAGTATAATATCCTGAAAACACCACAGACACATGACATACAGTATAACATGAAGCCATACCGTAACTTGAAGAAACTAAGCAGCATATTGTCTTGCTCAGCTCAGCGTTCCAGTGCTGCTAAGATAAGACACAATGCAAATGTACCTCTTGGTCTGATCGTTGAACGAGATGCTAGGGCTGCTGGCAGTGGAAGGGTTGGTCAGGCTAGGTCTGCTGGCAGTGGAAGGGTTGGGCAGGCTAGGGCTGCTGGCAGTGGAAGGGTTGGGCAGGCTAGGGCTGCTGGCAGTGGAAGGGTTGGGCAGGCTAGGCCTGCTGGCAGTGGAAGGGTTGGGCAGGCTAGGGCTGCTGGCAGTGGAAGGGTTGGGCAGGCTAGGGCTGCTGGCAGTGGAAGGGTTGGGCAGGCTAGGGCTGCTGGCAGTGGAAGGGTTGGTCAGGCTAGGGCTGCTGGCAGTGGAAGGGTTGGGCAGGCTAGGGCTGCTGGCAATGGAAGGGTTGGTCAGGCTAGGCCTGCTGGCAGTGGAAGGGTTGGGCAGGCTAGGGCTGCTGGCAGTGGAAGGGTTGGGCAGGCCCACCTCTGACGGCTGGCTGTGGTTAGCACTAAACAGACAGAGGGAGACTGATGTTAGAGAGAGAGAATCCTACCAAATGTGATATTGTCAAATCATTTGGATGTTTGAGATTGGTCAACTTTTTACCATTCGACAGTGTCAGTAGATTTGAGACAGCTCAGAACCTCTCTGTCAAAGTTTGGGTCGCGACTTAAAAGTTTGGGTCGCGACAGGTGTCACGAGAATTTTGTTATCTCAATGGTTGAAGCCAACTACTTCTTAAGTCTTAGAATATTTCCCAAAAGGTTGTAAATCTCTTAGTTTAAATAAATTTAAACAAAGACTCAATCCTGCAATGGTCAGCATATTTATTCATGAGAGCGCTCTGCAACAAAATGGTCATACAATATTTTTATACGCACACGTCAGAGGAAAAATCCCACCCCGCTGTAGGCTGTATATTTCCACTGTACCTGGGTTTAGCTCATGTTTTCCTCTGCTCTCCTGACCATCAGGTCACACACACACACACACACACACACACACACATACATACACAAACACACACAAACACACACACACACACACACACATACACAAACACACACACATGTTCTTATCATATTCTACTCCTTTCTCGGGCAGGCTGCATTCCTTAGATATCGCCGTCCTCACAATATTCTGAAACCTTTTCATGCTCTCCTTTCCCTGTGTGTTTTTTGAACCAGTCTCCTGTTATTGGTTTCAATCGTACTCTGTTGCTGGGATATAAACACATTTGATTAATTCTCTAAGCTCTAGTCTACTAATTAGTCAGACATTATTAATTTAACTGAGGGTGTAACATTTTAGTCATATCTTACTCACACATTTCTTTATCAACAGGCCATTACACTATGTGTGTATGTGTGTGTGTGTGTGATGTGTGTGTCTAAGGATGCATGTGTGTGTACACTACGTGTGTGTGAGTCACACTTACTCCTCCTCCTCCTCCTCCTCCTCCTCCATGCTACGTCTGATCCAGCTGGTGTCTTTCAGCAGACTGGTCTTCTTCCTGTTGCTGTCAGATATGTTCTGACTGGCACTCATCTCCTTACTCCATGTGACGGGCTTAGACTTACTGAAAATAGACATTGTAGAAAGCAGGGGGATGTTCCAATCTGTGGTAGAAGAAAAATAAAATGTAACGAAGATATTGGTATGATGAACACGCACACACACACACACACACACACACACACACACACCACACACACACTCACTCACACACTCCACACACACACCTGGGGTCAACTGCTACGTTTCAACATTCCGATGACCTGTCCTGAGGACATACCTGAACGTGGATTTATCGGAACATCTGTTTTATGATAAACTCTACCTGACGTGGTTAAGAATGGCATGCTAGATGGTATGTTTGATTAAGCAATAATATTCAACACACAGAGCGTCAGTTATGATTGAACAATCACAAACTTAATTGGTTGAGAACAACAGACTTTGGTTCCCCTTGGTTTAATCAGTAGTGTTATGGCCCTAATCGGGGCTTAATGTGTTGTTACTGCTTAATAGTGTTGGTTATGGGCCTTAATAGTGTTGTTATGGATTAATCGTTTGGTTATGGCTTTAATAGTGTTGTTATGGCTTAACAGTGTTGTTATGGTTTAATAGTGTTGTTATGGTTTAATAGTGTTGTTATGGCTTAACAGTGTTGTTATGGTTTAATAGTGTTGTTATGGTTTAATAGTGTTGTTATGGCTTAATAGTGTTGTTATGGTTTAATAGTGTTGTTATGGTTTAATAGTGTTGTTATGGTTTAATAGTGTTGTTATGGTTTAATGTGTTGTTATGGCTTAATAGTGTTGTTATGGTTTAATAGTGTTTTTATGGTTTAATAGTGTTGTTATGGCTTAACAGTGTTGTTATGGCTTAACAGTGTTATTATGGTTTTATAGTGTTGTTATGGCTTAATAGTGTTGTTATGGTTTAATAGTGTTTTTATGGTTTAATAGTGTTGTTATGGCTTAACAGTGTTGTTATGGCTTAACAGTGTTATTATGGTTTTATAGTGTTGTTATGGCTTAATAGTGTTGTTATGGCTTAATAGTGTTGTTATGGTTTAATAGTGTTGTTATGGTTTAATAGTGTTGTTATGGCTTAATAGTGTTGTTATGGTTTAATAGTGTTGTTATGGCTTAATACAGTGTTGTTATGGTTTAATAGTGTTGTTATGGCTTAATAGTGTTGTTATGGTTTAATAGTGTTGTTATGGTGTAATAGTGTTGTTATGGCTTAACAGTGTTGTTATGGCTTAACAGTGTTATTATGGTTTTATAGTGTTGTTATGGCTTAATAGTGTTGTTATGGCTTAATATTGTTGTATGGCTTAATAGTGTTGTTATGGCTTAATAGTGTTGTTATGGCTTAATAGTGTGTTGTTATGGTTACTTAAAGTGTTGTTATGGCTTAATAGTGTTGTTATGGCTTAATAGTGTTGTTATGGCTTAATAGTGTTGTTATGGCTTAATAGTGTTGTTATGGCTTAATAGTGTTGTTATGGCTTAATAGTGTTGTTATGGCTTAATAGTGTTGTTATGGCTTAATAGTGTTGTTATGGCTTAATAGTGTTGTTATGGCTTAATAGTGTTGTTATGGCTTAATAGTGTTGTTATGGCTTAATAGTGTTGTTATGGCTTAATAGTGTTGTTATGGCTTAATAGTGTTGTTATGGCTTGCATCTTATTAAGAACTGTAATAACAGAACACTTACCATGTCATAGCCCTTCTTTAACAAACAAAGTTAAACATCTCATAAAAACAACTTCTCTTAATGATGTATCCCTCAAGCAATATCATGTAGGATCATTTCAAACTGTGAAATTGAGCAACGGTATGAGACCACTACCAAAGATGTACCCACTTTATAAATGATAGATGTAGTTGTTTAACTCACCGTGAAGAAGCCCAGTGTTCACAATAGTGGCAGATGATCGTGGAACGGAGGATTTTCTCTGTCTCTTCTCTATCCTCTATATATACTATCTCTATGCTCTCTTATCTATCACTCTCATTATACTCTATCTCTCTCTCTTTCTCTCTCTCTTATATCTCTTCATACTCATATCTTCTCTCTTATCTTTCTCTCTCTTCTCTGTTCTTTCTCTGTTCTCTTCTATCTCTGTTCTCTGCTGTCTTCTTATTCTCTTTCTCTGTCTCTACTCTCTGTCTTCTCTCTGTCTCTCTTGTTCTCTGTCTATCTATGTCTCATCTCTTCTCTTCTTCAGTCTCTTTGTTCATTGTCTATCTCTACTCTCATTGTTTCTCTCTGATCTTCGTGTCCTATCTCAGTGATCTATGCATCTTCTCTCTATCTCTCTGTCTGCTCTCTTTGTCTCTGTCTTCTCTCGACTATCTCTTCTTCATCTATCTGTTCTCTCTCTCTCTCTGTCTCTCTGTCTATCTGCTCTCTCTCTCTCTCTACTCTGTCTCTCTCGTCTCTCTCTGTTCATCTCTTCTCTCTACTTGTCTCTGTCCTGATAGTTCTACGGTATATATGCAGTAGGGCTGCATGCTCTCTGACCAGTTCACCACTCCTATGTTCCTGATTTCTCTTTACTCTTACTGAACCTATTTTAGAACTCTGCAAATAATGCTGACAGTACAAAGAAACAACAGCGGTAGTCAAGCATGCATGTGTGGATGCTATTATTAAGGAATGTAGTAAGAACTATATGTTGCTGTTTGTCACCCTGTGTATTATGTCATTGAGACTGACCTGAGGCGACCTTGACCTGTTCACCTGTTCACTATTCACCTGTTGGTGGCAGACAGGTGCTGATGATAAACATTAATTAAGTTTGGCACGAACAGTAGCTTAGCCATGCATGGTATGAGACAGTAACCTAGCCATGCACGGTATTAGACAGTAACCTAGCCATGCACGGTATTAGACAGTAACCTAGCCAGGCACGGTATGAGACAGTAACCTAGCCATGCACGGTATGAGACAGTGTCGTAGTAAATATTAAAATGTTATAGCTTGGTCTGACTAAAATCTTGTGCATGACCCATTTTAATGTTAGGAGCTTGTTTTCAATCAATGCTGTTCCTATGCAAGAACAATGGACAGAGCCAATATCTTCTCAAGGACAACACCCACGCCACAGGCCACAATCTGGTTGCTCCCCACGAGTCTTTCCTTTGAGAACATACACACATTCACACACACATCTCCATGCATACGCACACTCATCCTCATGCCTCACGAGTTACGCACACACACAAACTGCACTTCTTTCTACTGGTTGGGTGCCAAGGGCAGAGGACTCTGCCGTGCACCAAAGGGGCTTCTACTCTGGACAGAGCAGACCCGCCTCCTACGCCTCGGGAACCAATCAAGGGACTAGAAGAAGGACCCCTTCCTTTGTGTTACATTGTATAAAGTAATGCTGTAAACTCTGTTTTTTATCCTTCTCAACTGTTCTCCATAAGAGGCAATTGATTGGGTCCATGCATTGGGCCCATGCATGTAGCTTGAGCAGTACCAGCTATCTCTGTGTTTAATAAACTGCCTTTTGCTTAAGCATATTCCTCTCTGTCTAGCGTCGTTGGTTTGTACTTCCTCTCCTTATGGTTTCACCAACAACAGTAACCTAGCCAGGCACGGTATGAGACAGTAACCTAGCCATGCATGGTATGAGACAGTAACCTAGCCATGCATGGTATGAGACAGTAACCTAGCCAGGCATGGTATGAGACAGTAACCTAGCCAGGCATGATATGAGACAGTAACCTAGCCAGGCACGGTATGAGACAGTAACCTAGTCAGGCACGGTATGAGACAGTAACCTAGCCAGGCATGGTATGAGACAGTAACCTAGCCATGCACGGTATTAGACAGTAACCTAGCCAGGCACGGTATGAGACAGTAACCTAGCCAGGCATGATATGAGACAGTAACCTAGCCAGGCACGGTATGAGACAGTAACCTAGTCAGGCACGGTATGAGACAGTAACCTAGCCAGGCATGGTATGAGACAGTAACCTAGCCAGGCATGGTATGAGACAGTAACCTAGCCATGCACGGTATTAGACAGTAACCTAGCCAGGCACGGTATGAGACAGTAACCTAGCCATGCACGGTATTAGACAGTAACCTAGCCAGGCACGGTATTAGACAGTAACCTAGCCATGCATGGTATGAGACAGTAACCTAGCCAGGCATGGTATGAGACAGTAACCTAGCCAGGCACGGTATGAGACAGTAACCTAGCCAGGCATGGTATGAGACAGTAACCTAGCCAGGCATGGTATGAGACAGTAACCTAGCCAGGCACGGTATTAGACAGTAACCTAGCCAGGCACGGTATTAGACAGTAACCTAGCCAGGCACGGTATTAGACAGTAACCTAGCCATGCATGGTATGAGACAGTAACCTAGCCAGGCATGGTATGAGACAGTAACCTAGCCAGGCACGGTATGAGACAGTAACCTAGCCAGGCATGGTATGAGACAGTAACCTAGCCATGCACGGTATGAGAATGCAGCAAACACATTGCTACTGGCAAGACATAGGGCAACAGTTGACATACACCCACCCACACGCAGAATAGATAATGATAAATCCTAGGTCATTAAATGGCAATTGTCTTTAAATCTTGTAGCAATTGACAATGTAATAACTGCCAATAAAGTAATAGCTGGTAATAATGTAATAACATTTGCATTTATAATGTCATAAATGCTGATGATGTAATAAATGCTGATGATGTAATACATAGCCAATAATGTAATAACGTTATAACGCTAATAAAACTGTTGTTATTAGAAATAATTACATTATGCATTGATTATTACATTATGAAGTGGTAAAAAAATTAATCATGAATAGTGTAATAACTTTAACCAATTACATTTGAGTAATTTAGCAACGCTCTTATCCAGAGAGACTTACAGTTAGTGAGTGCATACTTATGTTATGTAAAAATGTTTATACTGGCCCCCCGTGGGAATCGAACCCACAACCCTGGCATTGCAAGCGCCATGCTCTACCAACTGAGCTACACGGGGCCCAATAAAGTAACAACAACAACAAAAAACTAAATTCACTCTTTTTTATTTTTTTCATGCACATCAAGTGTCATGCTTCAGTAAAATCTGACTACACACCAAACCACATTCCTGAATCCTTATTTTATCTATATATTACTAAGGGAATGTAACTGGACAGTTCATTAAACCAGCGGACTGATGTTGGAGGGCCCATATTCATTGTTCCCAGCAGAGATAAACGGCGAGATTCAGGCATTTGAATTCCCACACGATATTACAGATAATACAGTCCCAAAATGTTGTCACATCTACACAAGACCAGAGCATATGTAAAATAGAGCTGTGAAGGCAACTTTCTATTAAAAGGTTTCTTGTACTGGTTGACCTGAAAAAGAAAAGGTGTAACACTTCCATATGTGAGGCTCATAAGAGGACTGTAAAGGCAGATACATTAAAGTAGTGGAAAAGAACACTGATTTTGGCCTTGGGCCGATGGGTTAAGTGTGAGTGAGTGAGTGAGTGAATCAGTCAGTCAGTCAGTCTGTTAGTGAGCCCCTCCCCCTGCAAGTCTGTTGTGGCAATAGATGCACATACTAAGTGTTACTCAAGTGTCTGACACTTAATATGCATGCCATTACATACAGAGAGGGATTTTCGGTTGTTATTACATTATTGGTTGAAGTCATTACACTTTTGATGAAAATTTTTTTACATAATCAACGCATAATGTAATAACTAACTGTAGTAACTATTACATTATGCTCAAAAATGTTATTACGTTATGCGTTCAGCATATTTATGACATATTATTGGCAATTTATTACATTATCAGCATTTATAAAATGTTAAATGCAAGAGTTAATACATTATTAGCAGATATTACATTATTGGCCGTTGTTACATTATCAGTTGCTACAGACCTCCTTATAGTTTTCAAGGAAACGAGATGATGTATTCCATCCTGATTATGCATGCCAGTGTTTTTGACGAGCACTTGCACTGTCTCTATCACACTCTAGCCCGCAAGGTGGCGGTAATGCTTCTTAACGTTGGTTTGCACACCGCCATTAAAATGAAGAAGAAAAAGAAGATGGCCTTAAAAGGTTTTACACAGAGTTGGAAAATATTAAATTATGACTTATTTAATTATCTATAATAAAATTCCCCTAAATTGTTGCTCAAATACACACATTTAATTGATAAATGTATAAAAAGTACACAAAATATCTAGTAACTTTTACAATGGAATATGAATCAGATATGATCCGTCACAAGAAACCCCGGGAATGTCTTTATCTTCCCTCCCCCCACGTGTGTACAGCGGTCTCGGGTGGAATGTTTGTTGATGTACAGCTATAAGTAGAAACGTATCAAAATTACTGTTCTAATATATATTTATCGGAGTAATGTTGAAATCAAAAACTTTCGTAAAGAAAACCCGATCAGGCGGGATTATGAAAATAGTGCGTGAGCACTACCTGCGAGACGATATTTGGTGCGGAAGTGAAGTTTGTACTGAATGCAATCAAGAAGAGTCTGTGTTGCAGAAAGACGCTTGCATTGAAAGCAACTTGTGTTCTTTCCCCCACTATCTGCTCCCAGACACAAATGTTGTGTTGAGCCAGGTAAGTTACTGTGCAATAATGTCTAACGTAAACATTTTATTATTTATTTTATTATTGTTATTAACAAATCAATACAAAAAGTACATGTCTAACGTAAACGCTAGCTAGCTATGCCAACCGCATCACTACAGTTTAGATGTCTGACACGCCTCTCTAGTGAAAGTGTGAACCACACTTATCTAGCTCAGGGTTTCCCAAACTCGATCCTTTCAGGTGTCACATTCTACCTTGCTGAATCAATATCAATGTCCCTTTAATGTCTGTAGATTGATATCCTGGAGGATCCCTTGATCAAGAACGTGATCATTCTGCAGACTGTACTCCAAGAGGTCCGCCACAGGAGCGCTCCCATCTACAAGCGATTGAAAGACATCCTTCATGACAAGGAAAAACGCTTTTACACTTTCACTAACGAACATCACAGGTAGAAAATAAATATGAGTTTAGCCTAGATAAGTGACTAGCTGTCATTTATGTTTTGTAGTGATTTAAGGGGGTGCAGCCTAACTTGGTTTTGGGGTTATCCCACCACTGACACCAATGTAGCAATTGACTGCGATAAGTTGGAGCAAGACTAAAGGCGTCTGCATGCTACCCAGCCGAGAGTTTGTGCATATATTATGACAACATTTTGTGACGTTTTTGTTTGTTTTGGACTTTGGCAAGGGTTTTCTAAGCTGTTCGGGCACACATTTATTTTCTCGAAGCAAGCCAAAGGCTACGCCCCCCTCATTGCTGATTGGTTAACAGTAGGGATTCTTCAATGAAGTGCCTGTTGTCATTCAACGAGAGACAACTCGTCCTCATGCTAAGTTTTTCACTTGAGAAATACTGCACCAAATATCCTAATCAGATGCAAAAGTGCGCAACTAAGATCTAGGCAAAAACGTCAAACAGATTTCTTGAGTTATCTAGATTAATTCTGACTATTTTGAGGAAGTGTTGACTGGCTACGGCGTCTCAAAGTGGACAAACAGTACTAGTGGCGCTTTTTATTCTTGTTTTTCAAGCAAAGGTCTTTTTAAGTATGCGAGCACACTCGTTCTGCTAACCGAGCTCGGCTAGGCGCCAGCCGAACTGAAGCATGCTGACGCCTTAACTGTCCATCGCATTTGTGACTGATCAATGCTTTTCAAAGCCATGTATGGTTGTATTCTTCTGTTACAGAGAAACTTATATAGAGAGAGAGCAGGGGGAAAGCGCCAACGATCGTAATGACAGAGCCATCCGCGTATCTACAAAGTGGTACAGTGATCACCTGAAAAACACCCCCACGGACGAGGGGTTAAAGGTTGTTCTGCTGACCAATGACCGGGGCAACAAGGAGAAAGCAGAGGAGTCCGGCCTGCTCACATACAGATGTAAGAAACAGCACACCTCTGTTACCTCAATACACCAAGATGAGACCACTGTTCTTGTCTTTAATATCACAATATCTGTTACCTCAATACACCAAGATGAGACCACTGTTCTTGTCTTTAATATCACAATATCTGTTACCTCAATACACCAAGATGAGACCACTGTTCTTGTCTTTAATATCACAATATCTGTTACCTTTATACACCAAGATGAGACCACTGTTCTTGTCTTTAATATCACAATATCTGTTACCTCAATACACCAAGATGAGACCACTGTTCTTGTCTTTAATATCACAATATCTGTTACCTCAATACACCAAGATGAGACCACTGTTCTTGTCTTTAATATCACAATATCTGTTACCTCAATACACCAAGATGAGACCACTGTTCTTGTCTTTAATATCACAATATCTGTTACCTTTATACACCAAGATGAGACCACTGTTCTTGTCTTTAATATCACAATATCTGTTACCTCAATATACCAAGATGAGACCACTGTTCTTGTCTTTAATATCACAATATCTGTTACCTCAATACACCAAGATGAGACCACTGTTCTCGTCTTTAATATCAAAATATCTGTTACCTCAATACACCAAGATGAGACCACTGTTCTCGTCTTTAACCTTAATCACAATATCGGTTACCTCAATACACCAAGATGAGACCACTGTTCTCGTCTTTAATATCACAATATCTGTTACCTCAATACACCAAGATGAGACCACTGTTCTTGTCTTTAATATCACAATATCTGTTACCTCAATACACCAAGATGAGACCACTGTTCTTGTCTTTAATATCACAATATCTGTTACCTCAATACACCAAGATGAGACCACTGTTCTCGTATTTAACCTTAATCACAAGGTCACAGTACTACATGTGTTAAACATGTCTACTACATGTTGACTTTAGAAGAGACCATCTTCATCCATCCTCTGTTCCACACAGGTGAGGAGTACGTCAAGAGTCTGATAGCCAACCCTGAGCTGGTGGATCGACTGGCGTTGACCAACGATGACAAGGTAACTAATATCTGCAGCAATATCACATTTACACAAATGTACTTTCTACAGCAGCCATTTAGATTCATAAAGAAAGTTAGATCTGCGTATTCATAGAGAAAGTTAGATCTGCATATTCATAGAGAAAGTTAGATCTGCATATTCATAGAGAAAGTTAGATCCGCATATTCATAGATAAAGTTAGATCTGCGTATTCATAGAGAAAGTTAGATCTGCGTATTCATAGAGAAAGTTAGATCTGCGTATTCATAGAGAAAGTTAGATCTGCATATTCATGGTTATTCATTTAATTGATCCCGTTCACCCCTCCCCCCCCCCAGAATGAGATCACCAGCAGCAGGGTGATGTTCCCGGAGCACCTGCCCCTGTCTAGGATCCAGTCTGGGATTAAGAGTGGAACCTTCCAACAGGGAACGTTCCGGGCTAGCAGAGACAACTACCTGGAGGCTACTGTGTTCGTCCACAGAGAAGGAGATGACAGTACAGAGGTCAGTGCTCCTGAAGCATAGCTCATGTTATTGTGTGGATTCTGGGCTTGCAACCTGCCATAGAAGTATGGAACATTCTTGAAGTCCTCCAAGAGTTGCTGAATATTTCCTAATCTTTAGTTAACTCCTCTGTTCATGTACAGTGGGGAAAACAAGTATTTAGTCAGCCACCAATTGTGCAAGTTCTCCCACTTAAAAAGATGAGAGGCCTGTAATTTTCATCATAGGTACACGTCAACTATGACAGACAAAATGAGAGAAAAAAATCCAGAAAATCACATTGTAGGATTTTTTATGAATTTATTTGCAAATTATGGTGGAAAATAAGTATTTGGTCAATAACAAAAGTTTCTCAATACTTTGTTATATACCCTTTGTTGGCAATGACACAGGTCAAACAGCCACTCCAGGACCTTGAAATGCTTCTTACGAAGCCACTCCTTCGTTGCCCCGGGCGGTGTGTTTTGGGATCATTGTCATGCTGAAAGACCCAGCCACGTTTCATCTTCAATGCCCTTGCTGATGGAAGGAGGTTTTCACTCAAATCTCACGATACATGGCCCCATTCATTCTTTCCTCTACACGGATCAGTCGTCCTGGTCCCTTTGCAGAAAAACAGCCCCAAAGCATGATGTTTCCACCCCCATGCTTCACAGTAGGTATGGTGTTCTTTGGATGCAACTCAGCATTCTTTGTCCTCCAAACACGATGAGTTGAGTTTTTACCAAAAAGTTATATTTTGGTTTCATCTGACCATATGACATTCTCCCAATCCTCTTCTGGATCATCCAAATGCACTCTAGCAAACTTCAGACGGGCCTGGACATGTACTGGCTTAAGCAGGGGGACACGTCTGGCACTGCAGGATTTGAGTCCCTAGCGGCGTAGTGTGTTACTGATGGTAGGCTTTGTTACTTTGGTCCCAGCTCTCTGCAGGTCATTCACCGTGTGGTTCTGGGATTTTTTCTCACCGTTCTTGTGATCATTTTGACCCCACGGGGTGAGATCTTGCGTGGAGCCCCAGATCGAGGGAGGTTATCAGTGGTCTTGTATGTCTTCCATTTCCTAATAATTGCTCCCACAGTTGATTTCTTCAAACCAAGCTGCTTACCTATTGCAGATTCAGTCTTCCCAGCCTGGTGCAGGTCTACAATTTTGTTTCTGGTGTCCTTTGACAGCTCTTTGATCTTGGCCATAGTGGAGTTTGGAGTGTGACTGTTTGAGGTTGTGGACAGGTGTCTTTTATACTGATAACAAGTTCAAACAGGTGCCATTAATACAGGTAACGAGTGGACAGAGGAGCCTCTTAAAGAAGAAGTTACAGGTCTGTGAGAGCCAGAAATCTTGCTTGTTTGTAGGTGACCAAATACTTATTTTCCACCATAATTTGCAAATAAATTCATTAAAAATCCTACAATGTGATTTTCTAAATTTGTGTGTCATAGTTGACGTGTACCTATGATGAAAATTACAGGTCTCTCATCTTTTTAAGTGGGAGAACTTGCACAATTGGTGGCTGACTAAATACATTTTTTCCCCACTGTACCTTGTTTGGAAAGCGAGTTATCAACAGTATTATTTTGTGGAGTGGAGAATGTTTTGATGCTGTTCTGAGTGCCAGCTGGTGAGATGGGGATGAGTGATTGATTGGATGGGAAATGTAAACAAAGCAGCGTGGGTTACCATGGTAACACTTCCTCTTCCTGTCCCGCCCCTCAGGTTCTGATCCAAGGCCTACAGAACTTGAACAGGGCTGTCCATCAGGATGTGGTTGCTGTGGAGATCCTGCCTCTGAACCAATGGGTGGCTCCGTCCTCTGTGGTGCTGCAGGACGAGGGGCCCAAGGAGGATGATGTCACAGAGGAGGAGGAGGCAGAGTTGAAGAGGGGTCTGTCTGGGTCGGAGTCACGGAAACCCACAGGCAGAGTGGTGGGCATCATCAAGAGGAACTGGAGACCCTTCTGTGGCATGCTCTTCCTGTCCCAAATCAAAGAGGTAACTAGCCTAACTAACGTCACCTCACTCTGCTCTGTCAATCAGTAAATCAATCAAATCCTTCAGAAATCGTACATGAGTATTTCTTCATATAGATGCATATACCACCATGCTTTGGTTTCTCTTGTGATTATTTGTTGTCTGTGGTACTTGTTTTGTGCTAACGAATGTGGAGAAGACCAAAGATATCTCATAGTTAGTGGTCTCTTATACCCCTTCCTCCTTCCCAGGCGACCCGTCACCTCTTCACCCCAGCTGACCGTTGTATCCCCAGGATCCGCATCGAGACCCGCCAGGCGGCCACGTTGGCAGGACAGAGGATCATGGTGGCTATCGACGGCTGGCCCAAGCACTCCAGATACCCCAATGTACGTGTCTGTCCCAGGTGCTCTTTATTGCAGTTGGGCGGCTCAGATTATCGGATATCATAATCGGTTATCCGTGCCTGGAGAAGTGTATGGTGTACATGAGATGTGCAGCGCGACTGCAGTAAAGAGGACCTGGAACGCACCTCAGTCAGAGTCAAACACTGATCTCTCTTTCTCTCATTGAGGGACTAGCAGAGACGAGACACCATTCTCTCCTCACCCTCCCTCCCTCTCTCCTTCTCTCAGGGTCATTTTGTTCGTAGCCTGGGCAGTGCAGGGGACAAGGAGACAGAGACGGAGGTTCTACTGCTGGAGCATGATGTCCCACACCAGGACTTCTCACAGGCCGTCCTCAGTTTCCTCCCCAAGATGCCCTGGAACATCACAGAGGAGGTAACTGCACCGCACAGGGGTCCTGTTATGGTGGCCATTTTGTGTCAAGACATATATCAATGGTTGTTAGCTGGTGGCTACGTTGTTGTAGCTATACCAATCAACAATTTGGTAACACTACTTAAAGCCTGTTGGTATAATGCATTATGGCGTGGTTATAATACGTTATAAAGGCTCATAACATGCTTATAACGGGTAATAATGCATCCCTAAACCTTATTTCCCCTTCTCTCAGGACATGGCTGTGAGAGAGGACCTGAGGAACCTGACAGTCTGCAGTGTGGATCCTCCTGGCTGTACTGACATAGATGATGCTCTGCACTGTAGAGACCTGGCCAATGGGAACCAAGAGGTAGGACCCTGCTGGACTAACACACAGTTTACCACAACGTTTTATTTGATGGATGAATGTTTGGATGAGGTAACATAATCCATTTTGGATGAGGTAACACAATCAATTGAATTGGTAATAGGATCGAACAGAATTGAAAGTTGAGAAGTCATCATGCGTGTTTCTTTTTGGGTTGAAGGTTGGTGTCCACATTGCTGATGTGAGCCACTTCATACGGCCAGGCAACGCCATGGACCTGGAGGCAGCGAACAGAGGGACTACAGTCTACCTGACTGGAGGGTAGGAGCCCACCTGGCCACCTGTACCATCACATAGTAACCTTGATGAACCCTAGGAGGCCACCTGTCCACCTGTACCATCACATAGTAACCTTGATGAACCCTAGGAGGCCACCTGTCCAACTGTACCATCACATAGTAACCTTGATGAACCCTAGGAGGCCACCTGTCCACCTGTACCATCACTAGTCAACCTTGTGATGGAGCCACTTCCATACGGCATCACATAGGAACTTATGAACCCTATACTCTTTTGGCCCCTGCACCTTACCAATCACACCTTATCTATCCCTATATAAGATGACCACTACTTTTGGTGCATCTTAAATGGCACCCTATTCCCTATATAGTGCACTACTTTTGACCAGAGGCCCGGTAAAGTAGTCATATAGGGAATAGGGTGCCATTTCAGAAATACCTGAGTCTTTTGTTGTTAACACAGCTGATTGTCTTCCACAGAGGATCGACATGGTTCCTGAACTGCTGAGCTCTAACCTGTGTTCCCTACGGTCCAATGTGGAGAGGTCAGTACTGTAATACCTCTTTAAGACAGACAGTATCATACTTGCTTTTTTTGTCATCCTTCAACAACAAAAAAGTGTATTTGTTTATTTTTAAAGCCATTAGTGATGTTCGTGGTCTCCTCTCTGTAGGCTGGCCTTCTCTTGTATATGGGAGATCAACGACAAGGCTGAGATAGTTAAGACCAGATTCACTAAAAGTGTCATCAACTCCAAGGTAGGGGGAGAGTAAACTCACGCATTTGACAATGTAAGAGTTGTGATTGAGACAATGTAAGACTTACAATTTCCCCTCAGGGATCAATAAAGTTGATTGAATTGAATGATTATTCTTCCTCCAGGCCTCCCTGACGTACGCTGAGGCCCAGATGAGGATTGATGACACCAACATGAATGATGACACCACCAAGAGCTTACGAGGCCTGAACAGACTAGCCAAGATCCTGAAGAAACAGAGGATAGAGAAAGGGTAAGAGGTTACGAGGCCTGAACAGACTAGCCAGGATCCTGAAGAGACAGAGGATAGAGAAATGGTAAGAGGTTATGAGGCCTGAACAGACTAGCCAGGATCCTGAAGAGACAGAGGATAGAGAAATGGTAAGAGGTTACGAGGCCTGAACAGACTAGCCAGGATCCTGAAGAGACAGAGGATAGAGAAATGGTAAGAGGTTATGAGGCCTGAACTGACTAGCCAGGATCCTGAAGAGATGGAGGATAGAGAAAGGTAAGAGGTTATGAGGCCTGAACTGACTAGCCAGGACCCTGAAGAGACCAAGGATAGAGAAAGGGTATGTGATGTCTGTAGTTGATAACCTTTCCCCCAACTGTTGAAAGAGATGGATCGTTAGAACTGTGGCAGATTGATGTATTCCAAAAGTGAATAGTTGGTTGATGGATTGATTGTTTATTGATCTCGTTGCTAGTCTCATTAATCTATATGTTTACTCTGTTTGGAATGTATAAATACATGTCTTTGTAGGTGCTCTAACTCTAACGTGGTGGTTTCTGTTCTGTGTTTCAGTGCGTTGACTCTCTCCTCGCCCGAGGTTCGCTTCCACATCGACAGTGAGACTCACGACCCCATAGACCTACAGACCAAGGAGCTCAAGTACGTTGTTAGGCTTTTAGAATATAGAATTTAAAATAAGGTTCTATTCATGGTGCTTGAAACTGTGCTGTCGTTTTGACCCTGACTAAAGGGGTTTAAACTTCAACAAGTTCAACTGAATTTACATGAATATTGTCAAGCTTTTGTGACCTGTCAAAGCATCATTCTGTTTCCAGTTTTACATTGTCACTTGGTCATAAAACCCAGCAGTAGGTCTGTGCCTCTGCTCATAGACTTAACTTGATGTCCACGCTGTATCGGTGTGTTCAAATTCAAAGAACTTTATTGTTCCCCAGGGAGACCAACTCGATGGTGGAGGAGTTCATGTTGCTGGCCAACATCTCAGTAGCTCAGAAGATTTATGATGAGTTCTCAGAGTGTGCTCTTCTCAGGAAGCACCCCGCCCCTCCTCCATCTAACTATGACATCCTCAACAAGGCTGCCAAGTCTAAGGTACATCTATATATTCAGACAACATCTGAAACAAGTCTAAGGTACACCTATATATTCAGACTGACCAGACAACATCTAAAACAAGTCTAAGGTACATCTATATATTCAGACTGACCAGACAACATCTAAAACAAGTCTAAGGTACACCTATATATTCAGACTGACCAGACAACATCTAAAACAAGTCAAAGGTACACCTACAGTGAGGGAAAAAAAGTATTTGATCCCCTGATGATTTTGTACGTTTGCCCACTGACAAAGACATGATCCGTCTATAATTTTAATGGTAGGTTTATTTGAACAGTGAGAGACAGAATAACAACAAAAAAATCCAGAAAAACGCATGTCAAAAATGTTATAAATTGATTTGCATTTTAATGAGGGAAATAATTATTTGACCCCTCTGCAAAACATGACTTAGTACTTGGTGGCAAAACCCTTGTTGGCAATCACAGAGGTTAGACGTTTCTTGTAGTTGGCCACCAGGTTTGCACACATCTCAGGAGGGATTTTGTCCCACTCCTCTTTGCAGATCTTCTCCAAGTCATTAAGGTTTCGAGCCTGACGTTTGGCAACACAAACCTTCAGCTCCCTCCACAGATTTTCTATGGGATTAAGGTCTGGAGACTGGCTAGGCCACTCCAGGACCTTAATGTGCTTCTTCTTGAGCCACTCCTTTGTTGCCTTGGCCGTGTGTTTTAGGTCATTGTCATGCTGGAATACCCATCCACGACCCATTTTCAATGCCCTGGCTGAGGGAAGGAGGTTCTCACCCAAGATTTGACGGTACATGGCCCCGTCCATCGTCCCTTTGATGCGGTGAAGTTGTCCTGTCCCCTTAGCAGAAAAACACCCCCAAAGCATAATGTTTCCACCTCCATGTTTGACGGTGGGGATGGTGTTCTTGGGGTCATAGGCAGCATTCCTCCTCCTCCAAACACGGCGAGTTGAGTTGATGCCAAAGAGCTCCATTTTGGTCTCATCTGACCACAACACTTTCACTCAGTTCTCCTCTGAATCATTCAGATGTTCATTGGCAAACTTCAGACGGGCATGTATATGTGCTTTCTTGAGCAGGGGGACCTTGCGGGCGCTGCAGGATTTCATTCCTTCACGGCGTAGTGTGTTACCAATTGTTTTCTTGGTGACTATGGTCCCAGCTGCCTAGAGGTCATTGACAATATCCTCCCGTGTAGTTCTGGGCTGATTCCTCACCGTTCTCATGATCATTGCAACTCCACAAGGTGAGATCTTGCATGGAGCCCCAGGCCGAGGGAGATTGACAGTTATTTTGTGTTTCTTTCATTTGCGAATAATCGCACCAACTGTTGTCACCTTCTCACCAAGCTGCTTGGCGATGGTCTTGTAGCCCATTCCAGCCTTGTGTAGGTCTACAATCTTGTCCCTGACATCCTTGGAGAGCTGTTTGGTCTTGGCCATGCTGGAGAGTTTGGAATCTGATTGATTGATTGCTTCTGTGGACAGGTGTCTTTTATACAGGTAACAAGCTGAGATTAGGAGCACTCCCTTTAAGAGTGTGCTCCTAATCTCAGCTCGTTACCTGTATAAAATACAACTGGTAGCCAGAAATCTTTCTGATTGAGAGGGGGTCAAATACTTATTTCCCTCATTAAAATGCAAATCAATTTATAACATTTTTGACATGCGTTTTTCTGGATGTTTTTGTTGTTATTCTGTCTCTCACTGTTCAAATAAACCTACCATTAAAATTATAGACTGATCATTTCTTTGTCAGTGGGCAAACATACAAAATCAGCAGGGGATCAAATACTTTTTTCCCTCACTGTATATATTCAGACAGACCAGACAACATCTAAAACAAGTCTAAGGTACATCTATAGACCAAACAGCTAGCTAAAACAGTTTTAATAAGACTTGATATTTTTCCAGGACAATTGTTCCTATCTGGGTCGAAGGACTGACAATAAAAAGGGACTGACGTAGAACCTTGGATAGATATAAATATTTACAACAAATAAAGTGTGATTGTCCCCCCTCCGTTTCCCTATTATTCCAGTTTCTGACGTAGATGTAATGTAGCCCTAACATTGTCCCCCCCCTGACGTGGATGTAATGTAGCCCTAACATTGTCCCCCCCCCCAACATGGATGTAATGTATCCCTAACATTGTCCCCCCCCCCTGACTGGATGTAATGTAGCCCTAACCATTGTCCCCCCCCCCCCCCCCGTCGTGGATGTAATGTAGCCCTAACATTGTCCCCCCCTGACATGGATGTAATGTAGCCCTAACATTGTCCCCCCCCCTGACATGGATGTAATGTAGCCCTAACATTGTCCCCCCCTGACATGGAGTGTAATGTGCCCTAAACATTGTCCCCCCCCTGACATGGATGTATGTAGCCCTAACATTGTTCCCCCCCCCAACATGGATGTAATGTTAGCCCTAACATTGTCCCCCCCCCCTGACATGGATGTATTAGCCCTAACATTGTCCCCCCCCCCCTGACATGGATGTAATGTAGCCCTAACATTGTCCCCCCCCCTGCATGGATGTAATGTAGCCCTAACATTGTCCCCCCCCTGACATGGATGTAATGTAGCCCTAACATTGTCCCCCCGTCCCCCCTCTGACATGGATGTAATGTAGCCCTAACATTGTTCCCCCCCCCTGACATGGATGTAATGTAGCCCTAACATTGTCCCCCCCCCTACATGGATGTAATGTAGCCCTAACATTGTCCTCCCCCCCAACATGGATGTAATGTAGCCCTAACATTGTCCCCCCCCCCAACATGGATGTAATGTAGCCCTAACATTGTTCCCCCCCCCGTGGATGTAATGTAGCCCTAACATTGTCCCCCCCCCTGACATGGATGTAATGTAGCCCTAACATTGTCCCCCCCCCAACATGGATGTAATGTAGCCCTAACATTGTCCCCCCCCCTGACATGGATGTAATGTAGCCCTAACATTGTTCCCCCCCTGACATGGATGTAATGTAGCCCTAACATTGTCCCCCCCCCAACATGGATGTAATGTAGCCCTAACATTGTCCCCCCCCCTGACATGGATGTAATGTAGCCCTAACATTGTTCCCCCCCCCTGACATGGATGTAATGTAGCCCTAACATTGTCCCCCCCTGACATGGATGTAATGTAGCCCTAACATTGTCCCCCCCCCCAACATGGATGTAATGTAGCCCTAACATTGTCCCCCCCCCTGACATGGATGTAATGTAGCCCTAACATTGTGTCCCCCCCCCCGACATGGATGTAATGTAGCCCTAACATTGTCCCCCCCCCAACATGGATGTAATGTAGCCCTAACATTGTCCCCCCCCCCTGACATGGATGTAATGTAGCCCTAACATTGTCCCCCCCCCTGACATGGATGTAATGTAGCCCTAACATTGTCCCCCCCTGACATGGATGTAATGTAGCCCTAACATTGTCCCCCCCCCCAACATGGATGTAATGTAGCCCTAACATTGTCCCCCCCTGACATGGATGTAATGTAGCCCTAACATTGTTCCCCCCATGACATGGATGTAATGTGACCCTGACATCATCTCCCTCCTCCCCCCAGGACTTGGTGATCCACACGGACTCGGCCAAGGCTCTAGCTGACTCTCTGGACGCGGCCCAGGTGGACGGCTTCCCTTACTTCAACACATTGCTGCGTATCCTAGCAACACGATGCATGATGCAGGCTGTGTACTTCTGCTCCGGGATGGACAGTGACTTCCACCACTATGGACTGGCCTCTCCCATCTACACCCACTTCACATCACCTATCAGACGGTGAGAACACACACTTTACCTCTCCCTCCTGCAGGTCCACACACCCCCTCTACTCCTTTCTCCTGACTGGTCCACACACCCCCTCTACTCCTTTCTCCTGACTGGTCCACACACCCCCTCTACTCCTTTCTCCTTTCTGGTCCACACACCCCCTCTACTCCTTTCTCCTGTCTGGTCCACACACCCCCTCTACTCCTTTCTCCTGTCTGGTCCACACACCCCCTCTACTCCTTTCTCCTGGCTGGTCCACACACCCCCTCTGCTCCTTTCTCCTGTCTGGTCCACACACCCCCTCTGCTCCTTTCTCCTGTCTGGTCCACACACCCCCTCTACTCCTTTCTCCTGGCTGGTCCACACCCCCTCTACTCCTTTCTCCTGTCTGTTTCTGATGTTATTGTAACCTCTACAGATACTCTGACATCATAGTGCATCGGCTGCTTGCTGTAGCCATCGGAGCAGACAGCACCTACCCAGACCTGATGGACAAACACAAGCAGTCTGCCCTCTGCAACAACCTCAACTACAGACACAAGATGGCCCAGTACGCACAGAGAGCCTCTGTAGCCTTCCACACACAGGTACTGGACTGACCTAACACACTAACCTGTTAGAGCGACTAGCCTTCCACACACAGGTACTGGACTGACCTAACACACTAACCTGTTAGAGCGACTAGCCTTCCACACACAGGTACTGGACTGACCTAACACACTAACCTGTTAGAGCAACTAGCCTTCCGCACACAGGTACTGGACTGACCTAACACACTAACCTGTTAGAGCAACTAGCCTTCCACACACAGGTACTGGACTGACCTAACACACTAACCTGTTAGAGCAACTAGCCTTCCGCACACAGGTACTGGACTGACCTAACACACTAACCTGTTAGAGCAACTAGCCTTCCACACACAGGTACTGGACTGACCTGACACACTAACCTGTTAGAGCGACTAGCCTTCCACACACAGGTACTGGACTGACCTAACACACTAACCTGTTAGAGCAACTAGCCTTCCACACACAGGTACTGGACTGACCTAACACACTAACCTGTTAGAGCGACTAGCCTTCCACACACAGGTACTGGACTGACCTAACACACTAACCTGTTAGAGCAACTAGCCTTCCACACACAGGTACTGGACTGACCTAACACACTAACCTGTTAGAGCGACTAGCCTTCCACACACAGGTACTGGACTGACCTAACACACTAACCTGTTAGAGCGACTAGCCTTCCACACACAGGTACTGGACTGACCTAACACACTAACCTGTTAGAGCAACTAGCCTTCCACACACAGGTACTGGACTGACCTAACACACTAACCTGTTAGAGCAACTAGCCTTCCACACACAGGTACTGGACTGACCTAACACACTAACCTGTTAGAGCGACTAGCCTTCCACACACAGGTACTGGACTGACCTAACACAAACTATTTAACCAGGAAGTCCCGATGAAGACGAGAGACCCATTTTACAAAGGAGACCTGGGTCACATTCATTAGCGCACTGTAGCAAAATGCTTTGCAAAGGAAATCGAAAACTAGCATTTCTTACTGGTCATTTGTGGGTAGTCCCTCCCGGTGTCCGTCAGTTTGATGATGATTGAATAAGACCATGGCCTAGATGGCAGATGTGCTACTGAGTCTGAGGAGCTTGTGGACTGTAGTGATAATGGATCCTTTCCTCCAGCTGTTCTTCAAGAGCAGAGGCATCCTGAACGAGGAGGGATTCATCCTGTTTGTGAGGAAGAACGCCATCATCGTCCTCATCCCTAAGTTTGGTCTGGAGGGAACAGTGTTCTTCGAGAACAAAGACAAACCCAGCCCCAAACTGATCTTCAACGAAGAGGTACCCTCGCTGTGTGTCAGAGAGAAAATGGAAAGGAATTTTCTTGTGTATGCCTGAACTGTAACTCTGTGTGTGTGTGTGTGTGTGTGTGTGTGCGCACAGGCTCCTAGTCTGACGGTGGAGGGTCACTCCTTCAACATGTTTGACAAGGTCAAAGTGACCATCAGTCTGGACGCGTCCAACGTCCAGCACCAGAAGATCAGGATGTCCCTGGTCGAACCTGTGGTATGTTTGTGTTGTTTTGAACTTACTTTAGGTCCCAGTCAGTTTCAGAGATCCTGGGGAATCTAGATGTCATACTATGGTGGTCATTTCCATGGAGTTATGAACTCAAAACTATGTCCAGGTAACAGGATGTGTCAGATGCTGTAAAATAGCCTTCTAATGTCATGTCAATCACTCATTTCAGCTACTGGTTGGACATGTAACTAATATTGTTGTTGTGTTCTAGATCTCTGGAGTGAGTGTTGCGCCGTCTGAGCCCAAACCAGAGGCCAAGAGAGCTAAACTGGACCGCTGACTAACGCCATCCTCAGAATGAAACCTTTCTCTTAGCTCAGTTTAGAGTTATTTTAAAATGTTTAGCTTTTTTTCTACATGAAAAGCACAGAACATCCTGTGGTTAAATATGGTTATGATTTTAAAACCTTCAGTCATAGAAACATTCAGAAAACCTTTTTTCCCCCCTTGACCTATAGAACGTCAACCTTCCAGATGAATGTTATTGAGATGACAGTAACCTGTAGAATGGGGTGATGTACTGTGCCATGATTATAATGGATTTCTATTCCTGACCCATGGGGTTTGTATGGACTATTCTAGAGGGAGTGTTACCTTGTACAACTCCCAATAAATGTCTTGGTTTTAACCAATGGTCCTTTTCGCACCTCGTTGGCTCTGTTTCATGATTGGAGTAGATGCATTTAATTGAACTGTAGCCACGCCCAGACATGTAGCCACACCCAGACATCATGTTGCCAGGAAAACTGAAGAGTAGCCCAGTTGTACAACATTTAATGTGGCTCTGATCTAGTCAGAACTGTACATCCATTCAATAACACCATAAAACATGTCATTTCATCAGCTCTTCAGAAGGCAGATGGTGGCTGTTTAAAAAGGGGAGCTCTGCAGTTAGAAATATTTCTAACAATTTACAATAAAAAAAATCCTTTATCACATTTGCGAGGTAACTCAATTACAAATCACATCCCCGTAATTGTTTAACTGATCAAAAATCGAAAAATTATTAAAATAAATGCGAAATTCACAATCAACAAGAGTATAAATACATACAGTACATAACAACTGAACGTCAAGTTTCATCAGTCCCTTGTTCATGTCAACACTAAGTTATCCAAAATGGCACCCTTTTCTCTACATGATGAACTCTATAGGGACACACCTAAGTGAGCACGTTCCAACTCCATTAAGAGGGCTAGCTAGCGCCAATATGAATTCATTTCAAGGTTCATTTGTGCAAATTCAGCAGCGATTGATGGCATTTAAAGTTCTCACTTAGCCAGGGGTGTATTCAGTACACCGATTCTGTTGCAAAACGTTTAGTCTTGCTAAATGTTTTCCAACAAACGATTACTCCAAACAGAAAGCGTTACGCAACGGAAATGTGTTTCTATTGGACAAATTCAGGTAGGTCCCGTTCCGTTCCTAGAGTAAACTGTTTCCGTTGCAAACCGTTTTGCTACAGAACCCGACCAATGAATACACCCGACATGACTGCTTTAAATGTTGCAACAAACATATGGGATGACATCATCTTAGGCTTCAGCTGGGACGTTAAAGGTGGGTGGGGCTTCCTTGTCTTCTCCTCCAATCAGCTCACTCAATGGTGTTGAGGAAAAATAGTCTGGAAAACAAAAAAGTATTCATGTGTGTATGTGCAGAATGTGCGTCTTCATTGTACCACGTCAATCATGGCTTACCAGTGTGTGAACTCAAATAAATGAAATCCAGTCCAATTCTGGTGTCAGAGGAAAGCCCTGAAAATGGTCAAAGACTCCAGCCACCCAAGTCATTATCTCTGCTACCGCATGACAAGCGGTACCGGAGAGCCAAGTCTGGGACCAAAAGAGTCCTGAACAGCTTCTACCCCCCAGCCATAAGACTTCTGAACAGCTTCTACCCCCCAGCCATAAGACTGAACAGCTTCTACCCCCCCCAAGCCATAAGACTGCTGAACAGCTTTTACCCCCCCCCCCAGCCATAAGACTGAACAGCTTCTACCATACTATTTCCCTTTTAATTCTTTGCTGATTTTTCTTCCTTTGTAACTCTGCATTGTTGGGAAAGGGCTCGTAAGTAAGCATTTCACAGTAAAATCTACACCTCTTGTATTCGGCGCATGTGACAAATACAATTAGATTTGCACATATGGTGCTATTTGTAATTATGCACTTTGGTTTAGTGTGCTTTCTAAGTGTGTGTAGAGGTACTCCAGGTTTGGTGTGGGTTATGTTACCTCAGTCTTAGTGTGTCTAGTGTGGGTTATGTTACCTCAGTCTTAGTGTGTCTAGTGTGGGTGATGTTACCTCAGTCTTAGTGTGTGTCTAGTGTGGGTTATGTTACCTCAGTCTTAGTGTGTCTAATGTTACCTCAGTCTTAGTGTGTCTAGTGTGGGTTATGTTACCTCAGTCTTAGTGTGTGTCTAGTGTGGGTTATGTTACCTCAGTCTTAGTGTGTCTAGTGTGGGTTATGTTACCTCAGTCTTAGTGTGTCTAGTGTGGGTTATGTTACCTCAGTCTTAGTGTGTCTAGTGTGGGTTATGTTACCTCAGTCTTAGTGTGTCTAGTGTGGGTTATGTTACCTCAGTCTTAGTGTGTGTCATGTTACCTCAGTCTTAGTGTGTGTCTAGTGTGGGTTATGTTACCTCAGTGTGTCTAGTGTGGGTTATGTTACCTTAGTGTGTCTAGTGTGGGTTATGTTACCTTAGTGTGTCTAGTGTGGGTTATGTTACCTTAGTGTGTCTAGTGTGGGTTATGTTACCTCAGTCTTAGTGTGTGTCTAGTGTGGGTTATGTTACCTCAGTCTTAGTGTGTGTCTAGTGTGGGTTATGTTACCTTAGTGTGTCTAGTGTGGGTTATGTTACCTTAATGTGTCTAGTGTGGGTTATGTTACCTTAGTGTGTCTAGTGTGGGTTATGTTACCTCAGTATGTCTAGTGTGGGTTATGTTACCTCAGTGTGTCTAGTGTGGGTTATGTTACCTCAGTGTGTCTAGTGTGGGTTATGTTACCTCAGTGTGTCTAGTGTGGGTTATGTTACCTCAGTGTGTCTAGTGTGGGTTATGTTACCTTAGTGTGTGTCTAGTGTGGGTTATGTTACCTTAGTGTGTGTCTAGTGTGGGTTATGTTACCTTAGTGTGTGTCTAGTGTGGGTTATGTTACCTTAGTGTGTGTCTAGTGTGGGTTATGTTACCTTAGTGTGTGTCTAGTGTGGGTTATGTTACCTTAGTGTGTCTAGCGTGGGTTATGTTACCTTAGTGTGTCTAGTGTGGGTTATGTTACCTTAGTGTGTCTAGTGTGGGTTATGTTACCTCAGTCTTAGTGCGTCTAGTGTGGGTTATGTTACCTTAGTGTGTCTAGTGTGGGTTATGTTACCTTAGTGTGTCTAGTGTGGGTTATGTTACCTTAGTGTGTCTAGTGTGGGTTATGTTACCTCAGTCTTAGTGTGTCTAGTGTGGGTTATGTTACCTTAGTGTGTCTAGTGTGGGTTATGTTACCTCAGTCTTAGTGTGTCTAGCGTGGGTTATGTTACCTTAGTGTGTCTAGTGTGGGTTATGTTACCTCAGTCTTAGTGTGTCTAGTGTGGGTTATGTTACCTTAGTGTGTCTAGTGTGGGTTATGTTACCTCAGTCTTAGTGTGTCTAGTGTGGGTTATGTTACCTTAGTGTGTCTAGCGTGGGTTATGTTACCTTAGTGTGTCTAGTGTGGGTTATGTTACCTTAGTGTGTCTAGTGTGGGTTATGTTACCTCAGTCTTAGTGTGTCTAGTGTGGGTTATGTTAGCTTAGTGTGTCTAGTGTGGGTTATGTTACCTCAGTCTTAGTGTGTCTAGCGTGGGTTATGTTACCTTAGTGTGTCTAGTGTGGGTTATGTTACCTCAGTCTTAGTGTGTCTAGCGTGGGTTATGTTACCTCAGTGTGTCTAGTGTGGGTTATGTTACCTTAGTGTGTCTAGTGTGGGTTATGTTACCTTAGTGTGTCTAGTGTGGGTTATGTTACCTCAGTGTGTCTAGTGTGGGTTATGCTACCTTAGTGTGTCTAGTGTGGGTTATGTTACCTTAGTGTGTCTAGTGTGGGTTATGTTACCTTAGTGTGTCTAGTGTGGGTTATATTACCTTAGTGTGTCTAGTGTGGGTTATGTTACCTCAGTCTTAGTGTGTCTAGTGTGGGTTATGTTACCTCAGTATTAGTGTGTGTCTAGTGTGGGTTATGTTACCTTAGTGTGTCTAGTGTGGGTTATGTTACCTCAGTGTGTCTAGTGTGGGTTATGTTACCTTAGTGTGTCTAGTGTGGGTTATGTTACCTTAGTGTGTCTAGTGTGGGTTATATTACCTTTGTGTCTAGTGTGGGTTATGTTACCTCAGTCTTAGTGTGTCTAGTGTGGGTTATGTTACCTCAGTCTTATTGTGTGTCTAGTGTGGGTTATGTTACCTTAGTGTGTGTCTAGTGTGGGTTATGTTACCTTAGTGTGTGTCTAGTGTGGGTTATGTTACCTTAGTGTGTGTCTAGTGTGGGTTATGTTACCTTAGTGTGTCTAGCGTGGGTTATGTTACCTTAGTGTGTCTAGTGTGGGTTATGTTACCTTAGTGTGTCTAGTGTGGGTTATGTTACCTCAGTCTTAGTGTGTCTAGTGTGGGTTATGTTACCTCAGTCTTAGTGTGTCTAGTGTGGGTTATGTTACCTCAGTGTGTCTAGTGTGGGTTATGTTACCTCAGTGTGTCTAGTGTGGGTTATGTTACCTCAGTGTGTCTAGTGTGGGTTATGTTACCTCAGTGTGTCTAGTGTGGGTTATGTTACCTCAGTGTGTCTAGTGTGGGTTATGTTACCTTAGTGTGTGTCTAGTGTGGGTTATGTTACCTTAGTGTGTGTCTAGTGTGGGTTATGTTACCTTAGTGTGTGTCTAGTGTGGGTTATGTTACCTTAGTGTGTGTCTAGTGTGGGTTATGTTACCTTAGTGTGTGTCTAGTGTGGGTTATGTTACCTTAGTGTGTGTCTAGTGTGGGTTATGTTACCTTAGTGTGTCTAGCGTGGGTTATGTTACCTTAGTGTGTCTAGTGTGGGTTATGTTACCTTAGTGTGTGTCTAGTGTGGGTTATGTTACCTTAGTGTGTGTCTAGTGTGGGTTATGTTACCTTAGTGTGTGTCTAGTGTGGGTTATGTTACCTTAGTGTGTGTCTAGTGTGGGTTATGTTACCTTAGTGTGTCTAGCGTGGGTTATGTTACCTTAGTGTGTCTAGTGTGGGTTATGTTAACTTAGTGTGTCTAGTGTGGGTTATGTTACCTTAGTGTGTCTAGTGTGGGTTATGTAAAATAGCCTTCTAATGTCATGTCAATCACTCATTTCAGCTACTGGTTGGACATGTAACTAATATTGTTGTTGTGTTCTAGATCTCTGGAGTGAGTGTTGCGCCGTCTGAGCCCGAACCAGAGGCCAAGAGAGCTAAACTGGACCGCTGACTAACGCCATCCTCAGAATGAAACCTTTCTCTTAGCTCAGTTTAGAGTTATTTTAAAATGTTTAGCTTTTTTTCTACATGAAAAGCACAGAACATCCTGTGGTTAAATATGGTTATGATTTTAAAACCTTCAGTCATAGAAACATTCAGAAAACCTTTTCCCCCCCCCTTGACCTATAGAACGTCAACCTTCCAGATGAATGTTATTGAGATGACAGTAACCTGTAGAATGGGGTGATGTACTGTGCCATGATTATAATGGATTTCTATTCCTGACCCATGGGGTTTGTATGGACTATTCTAGAGGGAGTGTTACCTTGTACAACTCCCAATAAATGTCTTGGTTTTAACCAATGGTCCTTTTCGCACCTCGTTGGCTCTATTTCATGATTGGAGTAGATGCATTTAATTGAACTGTAGCCACGCCCAGACATGTAGCCACACCCAGACATCATGTTGCCAGGGAAACTGAAGAGTAGCCCAGTTGTACAACATTTAATGTGGCTCTGATCTAGTCAGAACTGTACATCCATTCAATAACACCATAAAACATGTCATTTCATCAGCTCTTCAGAAGGCAGATGGTGGCTGTTTAAAAAGGGGAGCTCTGCAGTTAGAAATATTTCTAACAATTTACAATAAAAAAATCCTTTATCACATTTGCGAGGTAACTCAATTACAAATCACATCCCCGTAATTGTTTAACTGATCAAAAATAAATGCAAAATTCACAATCAACAAGAGTATAAATACATACAGTACATAACAACTGAACGTCAAGTTTCATCAGTCCCTTGTTCATGTCAACACTAAGTTATCCAAAATGGCACCCTTTTCTCTACATGATGAACTCTATAGGGACACACCTAAGTGAGCACGTTACAACTCCATTAAGAGGGCTAGCTAGCGCCAATATGAATTCATTTCAAGGTTCATTTGTGCAAATTCAGCAGCGATTGATGGCATTTAAAGTTCTCACTTAGCCAGGGGTGTATTCAGTACAACGATTCTGTTGCAAAACGTTTAGTCTTGCTAAATGTTTTCCAACAAACGATTACTCCAAACAGAAAGCGTTACGCAACGGAAATGTGTTTCTATTGGACAAATTCAGGTAGGTCCCGTTCCGTTCATAGAGTAAACTGTTTCCGTTGCAAACCGTTTTGCTACAGAACCCGACCAACGAATACACCCGACATGACTGCTTTAAATGTTGCAACAAACATATGGGATGACATCATCTTAGGCTTCAGGTGGGAGTTTAAAGGTGGGTGGGGCTTCCTTGTGTTCTCCTCCAATCAGCTCACTCAATGGTGTTGAGGAAAAATAGTCTGGAAAACAAAAAAGTATTCGTGTGTATGTGCAGAATGTGCGTCTTCATTGTACCATGTCAATCATGGCTTACCAGTGTGTGAACTCAAATAAATTAAATCCAGTCCAATTCTGGTGTCAGAGGAAAGCCCTGAAAATGGTCAAAGACTCCAGCCACCCAAGTCATTATCTCTGCTACCGCATGACAAGCGGTACCGGAGAGCCAAGTCTGGGACCAAAAGAGTCCTGAACAGCTTCTACCCCCCAGCCATAAGACTTCTGAACAGCTTCTACCCCCCCAGCCATAAGACTTCTGAACAGCTTCTACCCCCCCAGCCATAAGACTGCTGAACAGCTTCTACCCCCCAGCCATAAGACTGCTGAACGGCTTCTACCCCCCAGCCATAAGACTGAACAGCTTCTACCCCCCCAGCCATAAGACTGCTGAACAGCTTCTACCCCCCAAGCCATAAGACTGCTGAACAGCTTCTACCAAGTTACTATTTCCCTTTTAATTCTTTGCTGATTTTTCTTCCTTTGTAACTCTGCGTTGTTGGGAAAGGGCTCGTAAGTAAGCATTTCACAGTAAAATCTACACCTCTTGTATTCGGCGCATGTGACAAATACAATTAGATTTGCACATATGGTGCTATTTGTAATTATGCACTTTGGTTTAGTGTGCTTTCTAAGTGTGTGTAGAGGTACTCCAGGTCTGGTGTGGGTTATGTTACCTCAGTCTTAGTGTGTCTAGTGTGGGTTATGTTACCTTAGTGTGTGTCTAGTGTGGGTTATGTTACCTCAGTGTGTCTAGTGTGGGTTATGTTACCTTAGTGTGTCTAGTGTGGGTTATGTTACCTTAGTGTGTCTAGTGTGGGTGATGTTACCTTAGTGTGTCTAGTGTGGGTGATGTTACCTTAGTGTGTCTAGTGTGGGTTATGTTACCTTAGTGTGTCTAGTGTGGGTGATGTTACCTTAATGTGTCTAGTGTGGGTTATGTTACCTTAGTGGGTCTAGTGTGGGTTATGTTACCTTAGTGGGTCTAGTGTGGGTTATGTTACCTTAGTGGGTCTAGTGTGGGTGATGTTACCTTAGTGTGTCTAGTCTGGGTTATGTTACCTTAGTGTGTCTAGTGTGGGTTATGTTACCTTAGTGTGTCATGTTACCTTAGTGTGTCTAGTGTGGGTTATGTTACCTTAGTGTGTCTAGTGTGGGTTATGTTACCTTAGTGTGTGTCTAGTGTGGGTTATGTTACCTTAGTGTGTCTAGTGTGGGTTATGTTACCTTAGTGTGTCTAGTGTGGGTTATGTTACCTTAGTGTGTCTAGTGTGGGTGATGTTACCTTAGTGTGTCTAGTGTGGGTTATGTTACCTTAGTGTGTCTAGTGTGGGTTATGTTACCTTAGTGGGTCTAGTGTGGGTTATGTTACCTTAGTGTGTCTAGTGTGGGTTATGTTACCTTAGTGTGTCTAGTGTGGGTTATGTTACCTTAGTGTGTCTAGTGTGGGTTATGTTACCTTAGTGTGTCTAGTGTGGGTTATGTTACCTTAGTGGGTCTAGTGTGGGTTATGTTACCTTAGTGGGTCTAGTGTGGGTTATGTTACCTTAGTGGGTCTAGTGTGGGTTATGTTACCTTAGTGTGTCTAGTGTGGGTTATGTTACCTTAGTGTGTCTAGTGTGGGTTATGTTACCTTAGTGTGTCTAGTGTGGGTTATGTTACCTTAGTGTGTCTAGTGTGGGTTATGTTACCTTAGTGTGTCTAGTGTGGGTTATGTTACCTTAGTGTGTCTAGTGTGGGTTATGTTACCTTAGTGTGTCTAGTGTGGGTTATGTTACCTTAGTGTGTCTAGTGTGGGTTATGTTACCTTAGTGGGTCTAGTGTGGGTTATGTTACCTTAGTGTGTCTAGTGTGGGTTATGTTACCTTAGTGGGTCTAGTGTGGGTTATGTTACCTTAGTGGGTCTAGTGTGGGTTATGTTACCTTAGTGTGTCTAATGTTACCTTAGTGTGTCTAGTGTGGGTTATGTTACCTTAGTGTGTCTAGTGTGGGTGATGTTACCTTAGTGTGTCTAGTGTGGGTTATGTTACCTTAGTGTGTCTAGTGTGGGTTATGTTACCTTAGTGTGTCTAGTGTGGGTGATGTTACCTTAGTGGGTCTAGTGTGGGTTATGTTACCTTAGTGGGTCTAGTGTGGGTGATGTTACCTTAGTGTGTCTAGTGTGGGTTATGTTACCTTAGTGGGTCTAGTGTGGGTGATGTTACCTTAGTGGGTCTAGTGTGGGTTATGTTACCTTAGTGTGTCTAGTGTGGGTTATGTTACCTTAGTGGGTCTAGTGTGGGTTATGTTACCTTAGTGGGTCTAGTGTGGGTTATGTTACCTTAGTGTGTCTAGTGTGGGTTATGTTACCTTAGTGTGTCTAGTGTGGGTTATGTTACCTTAGTGGGTCTAGTGTGGGGTTATGTTACCTTAGTGTGTCTAGTGTGGGTTATGTTACCTTAGTGGGTCTAGTGTGGGTTATGTTACCTTAGTGGGTCTAGTGTGGGTTATGTTACCTTAGTGGGTCTAGTGTGGGTTATGTTACCTTAGTGTGTCTAGTGTGGGTTATGTTACCTTAGTGTGTCTAGTGTGGGTTATGTTACCTTAGTGGGTCTAGTGTGGGTTATGTTACCTTAGTGTGTCTAGTGTGGGTTATGTTACCTTAGTGTGTCTAGTGTGGGTTATGTTACCTTAGTGGGTCTAGTGTGGGTTATGTTACCTTAGTGTGTCTAGTGTGGGTTATGTTACCTTAGTGGGTCTAGTGTGGGTTATGTTACCTTAGTGGGTCTAGTGTGGGTTATGTTACCTTAGTGTGTCTAATGTTACCTTAGTGTGTCTAGTGTGGGTTATGTTACCTTAGTGTGTCTAGTGTGGGTGATGTTACCTTAGTGTGTCTAGTGTGGGTTATGTTACCTTAGTGTGTCTAGTGTGGGTTATGTTACCTTAGTGTGTCTAGTGTGGGTGATGTTACCTTAGTGGGTCTAGTGTGGGTTATGTTACCTTAGTGGGTCTAGTGTGGGTGATGTTACCTTAGTGTGTCTAGTGTGGGTTATGTTACCTTAGTGGGGTCTAGTGTGGGTGATGTTACCTTAGTGGGTCTAGTGTGGGTTATGTTACCTTAGTGTGTCTAGTGTGGGTTATGTTACCTTAGTGGGTCTAGTGTGGGTTATGTTACCTTAGTGGGTCTAGTGTGGGTTATGTTACCTTAGTGTGTCTAGTGTGGGTTATGTTACCTTAGTGTGTCTAGTGTGGGTTATGTTACCTTAGTGGGTCTAGTGTGGGTTATGTTACCTTAGTGTGTCTAGTGTGGGTTATGTTACCTTAGTTGTGTCTAGTGTGGGTTATGTTACCTTAGTGGTGTCCTAGTGTGGGTTATGTTACCTTAGTGGGTCTAGTGTGGGTTATGTTACCTTAGTGTGTCTAGTGTGGGTTATGTTACCTTAGTGGGTCTAGTGTGGGTTATGTTACCTTAGTGTGTCTAGTGTGGGTTATGTTACCTTAGTGGGTCTAGTGTGGGTTATGTTACCTTAGTGTGTCTAGTGTGGGTTATGTTACCTTAGTGGGTCTAGTGTAAGGGAAGACCTCGTCTGGGATGTGTGCTGCGTCGAACGACTCCTTACTCTGGCTGTCTGAACTCATGCCATCTATCAGGCTGGCGGTGGCAGTGCCAGCGTATGTGTTGAACCCACTGTCCACCTACACACAGAGCAGTCAGTTAAAATTCAATAAAAACATTGGAAAATAAGTGCCTCTCCCCCAGTGATTAACATGTTAATCAAAAGTCAAACAATAATTAAGTGATCCGTTTGTGTACATTCAACCAAACAGTGCAATTTCTTTTTCAAAAACAGAGTCAAATCTAACTTACATTTCAGTGTAACTATTCCTCATTTTTCGATAAACATGCCTAGAAAGCTTGAAAATGCCTTTTCTGAAATGTAAAACTGGTGGACAGCTTGTTGCTTTAGAGGTCTAGTCTGTTGTGATTGGAGCGGTTTAGTTAGTAGACTCCCCTCATGATACACACCTGCATGCTGTTGTCATAAGGGATACTGCTTCCTTCAGCTAGCAGAGACACAAACATATGAGACGCCTCCGCTGCCAACACACTCGCCCCCACACGGGAGCTGGTCAACCGGACACCAACAGGAGTCACACCTCCTTCCTCCCCGTCCTCAGGGAGCTCCACGTCCACCTCGCCGTCCTCCTCCTCCTCCATCTTCACTGAGTCTGACAGAGGCTGGCCCATCCCCGGACCCCCCTCACACAGCCTCCCCAGCCCCAGCAGACCCTCACTGGTCCTGGGTACACGCTGCAGCGGGGAGGGGGAGGAGGAGCCCAGCTCCATGGGTGGTAGTGGAGTAGAAGGACAGATATTCTCCTGGTCCAGGAGGGAAGGGTTGGGGGAGATCGTTGGGGGTGAGGCCCAGCAGCGGGCTCGGAGTCTGAGCTTGGGGTTGTCCTGGGTCTGGCCCGGGAGCTGGAGCGGGGAGCAGAAGCGGATGGGGGAACAGCCGTCTACGTAGGGGCTCTCTGTACAGGAGTTCATGTCCATGTCTAGGGGAACACCTTCGGGGGTCACGAAACTCAGCTTCTTCCTCTCTCCTAGACAGGAAAAACAATCACAGCAAAACTCAAATAACATTGATGCCTTTCACCTAATGATTTGATTCAACAGGTTGAGGGCCGTGAAAGACTGTGAATCTGCACAGACATATTCAATCAGTGTCCACAGATAATGTCTCCAAAGGTTTCAGGTTTATGGTATAACAGAACATTTAAGACACAATATGCCAATAAGGACATAAAAACACCTCTTTAAAAGGACTCGTATACCTGCTATGGGTGTCTGTGTGAACTGTGGTCCGATGGGGGACAGGGCGGGGGACTTGAAGCCCGCAGGAGAGGAGCGCTCAGGGAACTGGGGGCTGGTGACACTGCCCAGGCTGTAGGTTCGGTGACGACCCTGGATCGGGCTGGACGACAGAAGACCCTTAAATGGAGAGAGAGGAAAACAAGCGGTTCCACCTTTATTTGAAATCCTTTGTGATTCTTCCTCACAAACAGATTCCCTCCTAGATGTTTTACACAGTACCACTTTAGAAGGAATATAGCATCTGCTAGCAGGGCTGCCCTGTTCCTGGAGAGCTACCCTCCTGTAGGTTAACTCCAACCCTGTTCCTGGAGAGCTACCCTCCTGTAGGTTAACTCCAACCCTGTTCCTGGAGAGCTACCTTCCTGTAGGTTTTAACTCCAACCCTGTTCCTGGAGAGAAACCCTCCTGTAGGTTTTAACTCCAACCCTGTTCCTGGAGAGCTTCCCTCCTGTAGGTTTTAACTCCAACCCTGTTCCTGGAGAGCTACCCTCCTGTAGGTTTTAACTCCAACCCTGTTCCTGGAGAGCTACCCTCCTGTAGGTTTTAACTCCAACCCTGTTCCTGGAGAGCTACCCTCCTGTAGGTTTTAACTCCAACCCTGTTCCTGGAGAGCTACCTCCTGTAGGTTTTAACTCCACCCTGTTTCCTGGAGAGCTACCCTCCTGTAGGTTAACTCCAACCCTGTTCCTGGAGAGCTACCCTCCTGTAGGTTAACTCCAACCTGTTCCTGAGAGCTCCACCCCCCCTCCTGTAGGTTAACTCCAACCTGTCCTGGAGATACCCTCCTGTAGGTTAACTCCAACCCTGTTCCTGGAGAGCTACCCTCCTGTAGGTTAACTCCAACCCTGTTCCTGGAGAGCTACCCTCCTGTAGGTTTTAACTCCAACCCTGTTCCTGGAGAGATACCCTCCTGTAGGTTTTAACTCCAACCCTGTTCCTGGAGAGCTACCCTCCTGTAGGTTTTAACTCCAACCCTGTTCCTGGAGAGCTACCCTCCTGTAGGTTTTAACTCCAACCCTGTTCCTGGAGAGCTACCCTCCTGTAGGTTAACTCCAACTCTGTTCCTGGAGAGCTACCCTCCTGTGGGTTTTCACTCCAACCCCAGTTGTAACTAACCTGACCCAGTGAAAACCTTTTGGATTGCAGCTCTCCAGGAAAAGGATTGGCAGCCCTGTGATAATAGCAACGCATGCTTAGAACCATAGCAACAAACCACACTTGCTAGCATGTTTCACTTAAACTGTAACTATACACACTGGTCAGACCTCATTGACATTGAATAGTGGCACACTTACAGTGGAGGGGGTCAGGGCAGACATGCCAGACAACAGGCAGGGCAAAGGAGAGGCGCTCATTGGTGAGAGGAAATCTCTATCCCCTCCCCCTTCTCCCCCAGGGGGCTCTCCCTCCCCTCCTCCTCCTCCTCCTCTCTCTGGGCTGGGGGGGCTGGAGGACTCTGAGCCACTCCCGTGGCCGTCCAGAAACAACTTCCGTCTCAGAGACGAGGAGCTCAGGCTCTCCTGAACCTGATCGTGCTGAGACGCCTCCTCCGATCTGTAGTACTCTCCTGGGGTGGGGGAGGGGGAGGGACGGGCAAAACACACACAGAGACAGACACAGAGACAGACAGGTTAATTGTGAGACCTGATAAGGTGTCCTGGCAGTCTGGTAATATCTGCACAGAGATCAATATTATGTGTATGGAGTGTTCACTCGAAGAGCATTGACTGAAATGTAAAGGTGTACCTAATATTTTGTCCAGCTGGAAGTCCACAGGTAAGGACAGGACTGTCTGGCAGCCTACTGTGGTCTTTGTAGTTGGTAGTGGCTCTTCTAGTATCTGTGGGGACATGGAGCCTGAAGATAGAAACATTGACTCATTTAACCTCCATAGAAATGGCTGAACATTACATTTACATTTTAGTCATTTAGCAGACGCTCTTATCCAGAGCGACTTACAGTTAGTGAGTGCATACATTTTCATACTGGCCCCCCGTGGGAAACGAGCCCACAACCCTGGCGTTGCAAGCGCCATGCTCTACCAACTGAGCTACACAGGGCCTCATAAGACAGTCAGACAGTTATTCAGGAAACACAAAATAAAACAACAGTATAATGAATGTGTATGTGTGTAAGTGAAAAGCAGCTCTACTCGAACTCATTGGATTCACTTACTCTTCCCAAAGTGCATCTGTGCTGATTTCTGTTTGCTTGCTTGTTCGGTCCATGGTGAAGGCACAATGGCGCCATTCGTGAAAAACTGCTCGATAGCATTCTGACGTTTCTCCTCGATGTCAGTATCGATCCTGGATATTTTCAAAAAACAAAGCTGTTACCAGATCAATAAACCAATACCTCCAACCTCTCAACAGCAGTTGTATTTCAAAGTGCTCTCCATTTGTCTTGCGTGCATTGTAAACCTTAACCTGGTCAGAGTTCCTCACCTGGTCTGACTGAGGTACATGGACAGGTTACTAGTTCCTCACTGGGTCTGACTGAGGTATATGGACTGGTTACTAGTTCCTCACCTGGTCTGACTGAGGTATATGGACTGGTTACTAGTTCCTCACCTGGTCTGACTGAGGTACATGGACTGGCGGTGGATATCCTCAGCGTCTATGTGCACAGGGAGCAGGCTAGACATCTCATCTATGTCCCATTTAAACTTGGCTGGTGTCTGAAAACAATGATCAACAAAACATTAAGAATAGAGATTCAATACAAGGTAGTGATTGAAGGAACGTCACCAGGTGGCTCCATAAAAGGGGTGATAACGTTCACAAGAGGACAATGACAGGACTTCTGAAGGAGACAAACATGTTAACTGACTTGGTGATCATGAGACAAGGTCAGTTGTTGTCCTTCAGGCTATTGAAGTGGGGGAACTATACAAGACCAGACCACAAATATACACTGTGTACAAAATATTAGGAACACTTGCTCTTTCCATGACAGACTGACCAAGTGAATCCAGGTGAAAGCTATGATCCCTTATTGATGTCACTTGTTAAATCCACTTCAATCAGTGTAGATGAAGGGGAGGAGACAGGTTAACTAAGTTTTTTCTAAAGCCTTGAGACATGGATTGTGTATGTGTGCTATTCAGAGGGTGAATGGGCAAGACAAACGATTTAAGTGCCTTTGAACGGGGTATGGTAGTAGGTGCCAGGGGCACAGGTTTGAGTGTGTCAAAAACTGAAACGCTGCTGGGTTTTTCACACTCAACAGTTTCCCATGTGTATCAAGAATGGTCCACCAACTTGACACACCTGTGGGAAGCATTGGAGTCAACATGGGCCAGCATCCCTGTGGAATGCTTTCTACACCTTGTAGTCCATGCCCTGATGAATTGAGGATGTTCTGAGGGCAAAAGGCAATGAAACTCAATGTTTTGTACACTGTGTAGGTTTACACTTACAGCTCCAGAGGACTTGGAGGACTTGAAGACAGAGGGGCTGGGGACCACGGATTCTTGCAGGCGATGGTAGTCGTTGGGGCTCTCGAAGGGATTATGGATAGCTGGCCTCCCTGGAGTCTCAGGAGTGATCTGGAGATCTCCCATAGTCTGACCACAAACCTGAACCTATTGATGCAGGAATTCAAACATGAATCAGCTTTGATCCAGTATAAATAGTATGCTATCAAAGATCACCAAGTACTAGAGAAAACCAAACAATTACTGTAATACTACCTAGAGAACAAACCTTACTTACATGAAAGTGTAGCTAGCTAGTTATCTAACGTTAGCTAAACTAGCTGGCTGTTGGTCCCACAATCTAGTACATGCTTGCTATCCCAAACATTTCGTTAAATGCCTAGCTAGTTAAGGATTTAGCAACTATTCTGAGAGGATAATTTGATCGATCTATTCGATATGTTATTTGATATTGGAGCCTTGATACTTACAGCAGCTGCAGAAGTCTTCAGCACAACTAAAATAAGTTCCTGAGTCAGTTGTTTCAAACGTTTATTTCAATTTTCCCACAACGCCCATTGGCCAATAGACATTGTCAGGAAGTGCCTCATAACCAATCAGATTGAAGATTTCAAAACGCTCCAAATTTACATCAACGTCACTTCCTTTCGCTTCTTGTGTGGTCGTTAGCAAGCTAACTAGCAAAGTATCTACTCATGGTAGAATTTAGCAACAAATGTACAATTTCTAATTTATCCAAATGACGGGTTTGTTATAGCAGAATTATTTTTGTAAATTAGCTTGAACTGTTGAAGTTGCTGTTTGAGTTAATCTCGGAGGTCCCACAATAACTGATCATGGCTAGCAGTGCTAATGCTAACAACATGAATGCTGTCCGAGAAACGATGGATGGTGAGTTAGCTAACGTTAGTTTGCTAGGTTATGATAATGTCTGTTGTAGCACGTAGATATGTGTTTTACTAATGTGACACATACACTACTGATTGCAATGCCTAAAGATTGCCTTGACAGTAAGGTAGCTAGCTAGGTAAATAGCTAGCTAGCTAACGTTATCATATTTCGTTCTGTACCCATGGCAACAACTCCACCACACAGCAGTATTAGTCAGAATGCTTTTATCTTGAAACGTGACATGGTTTAAACTATACAGCTTGTTATATGCCAGACATATTTTTATATTTTCTCTCTTACTTTTCCCCACAAGTGCTGCTGGAGATCTCTAGGCTGCTGAACACAGGGACTGGACATGCAGTCTCTGTCTATCTGTGTCAGGCTGTGTGAGCAGGGCATCAACCCAGAGGCCCTGTCCTCTGTCATCAAGGAGCTACGTAAAGCCTCCGATTCACTAAAGGTAAGGCCATGGTCAGGGGGACAGGGATAAGTACTTACAGAACTGAGACGCAATAGAACAAGGTTGCCCACACTTTTGAGAACCAAATGTTGTCTGGGCCAAGTTTGTCCCGTGGGCCCTGCTATAGAGACTCACTACTCTGTACAGGACTGTAGCTCTCCAGGAACTGGGTTGGAGAGCCCTGTCATAGATTCTGCTCTGTACAGGACGGTAGCTCTCCAGGAACTGGGTTGGAGAGCCCTGTCATAGATTCTGCTCTGTACAGGACAAGGTCAATTGTTGTGGTTATCCTTCACATAACTGCCAGTGTTTTTATGAGTCCATTATGCTTCAATCTGACTGATAGGCTACTCTTTCTGACTGGATCTAGATACCTCCATCTCTGCCTCACCACTGTTGCATGTTGCACCTGATGTGTAAAAAAAGATGACAATATGTGTCTGCCTTCTGTTCCAGGCCTCAGAAAACTGCACCAACTGAAGATCCGAGACCGATCCCAACAGAACAATGCTGCTGAGTGGAAGTCTTTTCACGCTGTCAAGTTTCAAAATATTGCCAAATAGTGAGCTTCTATTACCCTGACCTATTCCTCGTGCCTCTGTATTTGACCCCTGGCTTCATTTGAAGGAAAATGGTGTGTGTAACATTTGGTCTGTAAACGTCAGAGGCCAATTCTCCTTGACTTTTGTGTTCCTGTCATCAGCTTGGCGTGCAATCTGACAATATGAATGACTGCAATGCCCAGATATCCAATGTTTCAGTACCCCTCCCTCCCTCAGAATCATATAGGTTGTCAGTCCAGTCGTCTCTCTTCTGACTGAAGGATACATTGATTGGCACTCCCAATCATCACACAGTGCTACAATGATGGGTTGTTTTCGATTCCTTTATGGCTTTCTGGATGTGTAAAAAAACTGTCAATAATTTATTGAGAATTGTGTTTGGTTTTATATGAATTTAATGTCTCTTTTTTCTTCAACATCTGGCATGTCATTTTTTTTTTTTCAAAGTGTCCAGGATTGTCAATGATGGATTCAACTCAAGATTAAAAGCAGTTGCATTTTATATCCACAAGGTGGCAGTGTTTCTTTAATTATCCATTAGATCATGATGGATTCAGAGGTACTATCCAGTTTACCAGTAGAAAAGTTTGCCTAGTTAAATAAAAAAAGTCATAAATAAGCATAGATACTATATCCTCCTAGTCATCTGTCTGCAATGTTCTTCTGTTGAGGAATTCTCTGAAAAGGACACCTGTCTTTCAATTGGAGATCTCAGGAACATTTCTCTGTACCCATAATACAAATGAAGGAGGTAATCTAGGGTGGGTGTTTCTTTTTGGAAGTGCAAGATGAACTGTCAACATGAAGGCTGCTGCTTGCAGGTAGTCTACCATTGTTCCCTTCCGCATGGCCCTTGGAAGGTGCACTGTGGCTGAGCATGTGCTTCCCCCAAATGTGTGTTGTGGGAGCAGTAAGACAAATGTGGTCTATCAAATACAGCCAGGCATTTATTAGATGTATCTACCCAGGCAAAACATATGTAGTGTATTGGCATCTCTGGGTTGGGGCCCCCAGTCTATCATCATGACAAATGATGGGCATCACAGACTCATTTTAATCTCCATAACAAGAGACTCACTGTGTTGGAAATTAATGAAAACAAGATTGTCTTTCATTTGAGTTGATGTGAAACGCACAGGCAGCCAGCTGCTAAATGTGGAGGAGTGAAGAAGAGAAGAAAAATCAACATTTAGCTTCAGTAGGTGAGAAAATACTTTAATTTGTTCCCCGCCGCTGGCTCGGAGAAAAATTAGCTCGTTTGTCTAACGGCCATCTGTTTGGTATTTGATATGTGCTGCGCGCGGACCCACCGTATTGAATACCCAGCGAGATGAACAGCACGCGCTCGAGTAGGAGGCGCGCTCATCATCTCATCTTGAGGCGCTCTGGAAGTATGAGAGCTTATCAACGTCATGTTGTAGGCTACAATAATAGTTGATGACCAATGCGGATGTTTGGATACAGCCAGCTGAGACAAACCACATTACAATCAACGATGATTACATTACGAATATATTGTAGGCCTACAGTCAATGATGGAAATCAGGCCTATCTTTGTTATCATCACATTTCCAAATAGCTCAATCGTCTGCTTGTAGCACTTAAAGCGGCAATCAACAGTAGAAACAATAACAAAGCGATTCCCCACCCCTGTTTTGGTAAAAGGCTGAAGGATGGGGCTGGAGAAATTTAACCGATCTAAAATTCATAGTTGGAGCTATGGATGCAAGGACTGACCATCCATGATATCAAAATGATCGTTTTAACCATGTTTTGAGGCTATATAGTGTTTGTTTACATTTTCTTTGTTTACAAACATTGGAGTAAAACAAGCTTATATTTGCGTTCTGATGGGGTACGACAGTTGAACTAAGCTCATGAGGCATTTATAAGTTATATTCTTCAAGAATATGTGGGCACATGTCATTAACTTACACCAATAAGTCCAAAAAATGGATGTAGCAACCGCTGATTGCCCCTTTAAATATTGTGACCTTAGTATAGGCTACTCAATACAGTGTACTACCCTAGAAGCCTTTTCCATAGACATAGTGAATATTACAGCAGTTACTTCAATCCTAGGCCTATAGTCAGATCAACAATGAGTGACTCTTCCTCTGGAACACAGCCTAGCAACTCCATTACCATTAGTTCACTGAAGCAGAGAGAGCAGGGAGGTCTAAAAGGTGGCCTTGCCCCTGTTCTCAATCAAGCCTATTACAATTAAAGTGTGTTTCTGTCAATAAAAATAATTAGGATTTGGAACGGAGCTGAGCTGGCCTTGACTCCTGCTGTTTGCTTTGTTCATTAACAGGAGATGAGCAGATGGCTGCTGGTCTGACGGTCGCTTTGCCTCTCCTCTCTCTACCCTGTCTGTCTGTCTCCTCTCTCTACCCTGTCTGTCTGTCTCCTCTCTCTACCCTGTCTGTCTGTCTCCTCTCTCTACCCTGTCTGTCTGTCTCCTCTCTCTACCTGTCTGTCTGCCTCCTCTCTCTACCTGTCTGTCTGTCTCCTCTCTCTACTCCTGTCTGTCGTCTGTCTCCTCTCTCTACCCTGTCTGTCTGTCTCCTCTCTCTACTCTGTCTGTCTGTCTCCTCTCTCTACCCTGTCTGTCTGTCTCCTCTCTCTACCCTCTCTGTCTGCCTCTCTCTACCCTGTCTGTCTGTCTCCTCTCTCTACCCTCTGCTGTCCTGCTCTGCCTGTCTCTCTCTCTACCCTGTCTGTCTGTCTCCTCTTCTCTCCCTGTTCTGTCTGTCTCTCTCTCTCTACCCCTCTCCTGTCTGTCTCCTCTCTCTACCCTGTCGTCTGTCTTCTCTTTGTCTCTACCTCCTCTGTCTGTCTCCTCTCTCTACCCTGTCTGTCTGTCTCCTCTCTCTACCCTGTCTGTCTGTCTCCTCTCTTCTCTCTACCCTGTCTGTCTGTCTCCTCTCTCTACCCTGTCTGTCTGTCTCCTCTCTCTACCCTTCCTGTCTGTCTGTCTCATCTCTCTCTCTACCCTGTCTGTCTGTCTCCTCTCTCTACCATGTCTGTCTGTCTCTTCTCTCTACCCTGTCTGTCTGACTCCTCTCTCTACCTTGTCTGTCTCCTCTCTCTACCTGTCTGTCCTCTCTCTACCCTGTCCCGTCTGACTCCTCTTCTCTACCTGTTGTCTGTCTCTCTCTCTCTACTGCTGTCTGTCTGTCTCCCTCTCTCTCTACCCTGTCTGTTGCTCCTCTGCTCTCCTTTATGTCTGT